CGTTACCCCGGACCCGCAAGACCCCGTGTCTCGATGCCCAGCTCGCCTGCGCACCATTCATAGTCGTTCGCCCCCTTTGAACTCTTTTCGTTCCCGACAGTTCCAGCCGACATCACGCATATCTACCTATCCAGTGATCAGTAGGTACGGATACCATCCTATGGCAGAGTGGTGGACAAACACACACACACACACACATACACACATAACACACACTTCATCACGCATATTTGTGGTCACACCCGCACGCAAGCAGCAAGGTACCTTGCCCACAGGAAGCACATCCGCCTTTCCACCAAACCACATGCCAAAGCCAAAAGAGAGCGTGAGTGACTTGCTGCAGCCTGCGGCCTGCCATGTCTGGTAGACTTGCAAACAAACACACAACACGTGCGTGTTTTTCTGTCTCATTACCCCAAATCATACATCAAGTACCCTTCTTCCCTTGCCGAATCATGAATACTCTACAGCCGACAAACGCCGCGTCCATGCCCAACCCCCGTGCAGTGTGCCGTACCGTACCGTACCGTACCGTACCGTACCGTACCATTACGGTATAGTTGATACCTTGCTGTTCCCATCAGGAATCAATAGTAACCAAGGGTCATTCGTAATTCTGAGCCAACCCCAGGGTCTTTGTCGCCCATTTACTCCAAACTCATTCTGGCCTCATCGCCGATTCCCCATTGTCCACCCTCCTTGCCCTGTAAAGCGAGGTTCAACTTGAGTCCCAGCGCCGCAGCTTCCTCTTCGCTCTTGGCCTCGCTCGCCCTACGACTGCGGTCGTGCTCCTTGTCGGCCTTGCTGGCAACGCTCTTATCCGTCACTTTCCGTCGTAATGACGGCGCCTTGAAAAATGATCGTCCGCCCGAGCTCGTCGAGAGAGTGGAAGCTGTGTCGTCTTTTTCTCTTTCCAGGTCCTTATCTGATAGGGTCAGGTCTTGCGCGGATTGTGTAGGGGAAACCATCTTTTCTTCGAGCGTGCTGTACCTCTGCGTCGTCAAGGCGGGACCCGGGGGCCCTGTCGTGGGCGAGCCCGGCCGGGCAGAGCTCGGTGCTTGTGAGGCGTCCAGTTCGTGTGCCATTTCGTCCTCCGAAACCTCCACCAGCTCGGCGTCGCGGTACCACTTTCTCCGTCGTGTCCAACGTCCCCATCCGTCGGACCCGCGGCGTCCGTTTTGCCACTGGTCGGCATGTGTTAGTCAGATCACACACAGGCTGGCACTCAGCTACATAAAAAAATCAAAGCTTGCTTACCTTGTTGTCGTAGTAGATCCATCCATTCTTCCCAGGTTCCCCGTCATAGTCGATAGGTTCAGTTCCGTCATCCGGAACCCCGTCGACCCTCCATTTGCTCCCTTCAACCCACCGCCAGCGCATGTTGCTACCATCCTCAACCTCGGGCAGCTCAAACGTGTCCCGTGAAGGCACAGGGTTATTATGTTCATCGGTCCATGCCGACCGTTCGTAGGCAAACATGCTCTGTGTCCAGCCTAGGCCGACCCACCGCCTCTGGTTCTCGTATATAATAAATGTGAACTTGACACCCGCATCCTTGCTCGTGGCATTGTTGCCATGCCTGTGGGACTGCTTGCGCAGCGCCTTTGTGAGCTCCGATGTTGCCGGCTTGGCCTGTACTTTGCCATTCTCTGCCGCGGTGATCTGGACAGGAACAGCCTTGACAGGCTTCTCGAATGTCAAGCCCGTGACCAAGGCTGCCGTCCTCCGGATTGTGGCGCTCCGCCATAAGAGCGTTCGGGCGACTCGCAGGAATCTAGCGTGCCATGTCAGCACCAGGGTGCCGAAAAGCAGGGCCACTCGTCGAGTCGTGATGATTCGCAATGGTGGGAGCGTCAAGACCATCCAGAAAGGCGTGCAGAACAGTATGCGCACGAATAGCGTCGTCAAGGCTGGTCGTGTTGTGGCAGACGTAGGGGTTCGTTGAGTGCTCAGGAAGTCGGTCAATTCGAGGAGCGGCTCAAGCAAGAGGTTACATCGCCCAGTAAACTCCTTCAAAGTCTCAACAATCTCGTCCAGTGTCTTCTGGTGCCTCGTATTCGTCGCCTCTGATTCGCCTCGTTGGTGACCCTTTGTTGTGCTCGTGGCCGTGCTGCTCTTGGGTGTCGACTTCTGTGCCTTGGCCCCAGCTGCACCTCCTCCGGTGTTCTGCGCGCCGCCGGGATCCTTGGAAGCTGGCTCTGTCCACCCACTGCTGCTCAGCGGACTGAAACGCCGGCCATACATGCCCAGTATCAATGTCAGAACAACGACAATGGGCCCCGCCATGCGCACAACAATGTCGCCATAGAGAACGATGGCCCAGAATGATGCCAGCAGGAGAAAGCTCTCCCACGGATCGTCGGTCGTCCATGTCAACAGCCCAGCAAGCTTATTGAGGGGCAGAAGAAAGGGATGCGAGTATGCTAATGCGCGGGTGATTTGCGGCGGCGTGGCTAGGAGGAGGGGAGACTTCTGATGGACGATAATGGTGGACTGGCGGGAGGATCGGCTTGGAGTGGTCGCGGCGAGGGTGACGGGGGAGAAAGTCGCGTAGGTGGGTGGCGCGCCGGAGGGGGTGCCGTCGAAGCCGGAGCCCTGGGAGGGATCGTTTCCGGAGTCGGCATCGGCGCCGCGGTGGGCCTTTGGGGTCGACATGTGGACTAGCCAGGGCGTATCCTGCAGCGGGTGACGGAAAGGTTAGCCTGGCTGTGGGTTATGTAAAGAAAGGATGCTTAGGTAGGGAGGTAGGTAGGTAGGTAGGTAGGTGGATGGATGCAGCCGTGGCAAGCCGCCCGTCAGTGAGGCCGGAGGGGGAATGAGGTGTGTAGACCGGATGCCATTTGGGGTGGAACTGCGATGCGTGAAGAGTGGTGGATGGGAAAGAAGAGGTAGGAGGTAGAGGTTAGAGTGTACGAGGTAGAGAGTAGAGGGCAGACGAGCGGAAAGGTTATGACGTGGCTGATGCGTTGAAGGATGCCAAAGCGCAGTGGCAGCTGAGCAGAAAGGCACAGAGACAGAGCCAGAGAGAGAGAGAGAGAGACAAGAGGCGACCGGGGTAGCTCCGTGATGGGCGTGACCGTGTCTTTCTTTCAGTCTGGTCTATGCGCCATCTGCTGCCAGCAGCTGTCCCGAGCTCAGTTCAGTTCAGCTCAGCTCAGCTCAGCTTAGCTTTACTGTCGCGAATAAGGCCAGATAGACAGGTCGGTAGGCAGACATTCAAACATGCCCGCCTCCGTCTCGCTGTCACTCTTTTCGGCCACGGCGGAACAGGGCGGAGCCGGGTGCGCTTCAAGGTCTGGGTATCCGCAGGCTGCTCCGTAATGACGAACAGACTACAGGGCAAGGATGTGGTGGGCGAGGGTCGGGGGTGGTGGGGGTGATTCGGGAAGGGTCTCTTTTCTCACAAAGGCAGCCATCAATGTCCGTGGTCCTCCACTGCTTCCGCAGACGTTCGGAGCCGCTGCGGCTTCTGCGCGTTGTTCTCGTCTTCGTCGTCGTAGTGCTCGATGGTTGACAAGGGTCAAGTGTTGGCGGTTCGTGGGAATTCCCAGTGAAAGGGTACAAAGGTGGCTGTCGTAGGATAATCGATTGAAGAAGAGGGTTAGAGGAACGGAGGAAACGAGGCTTTCCGCAATGGCATGCGCATGTCCTCCCAAGGCCGAATTCGATCGCAGTTGTCTGACTCTGTGGATAGTAACGTCATCGGTTTCGGTCGCAGGTGGGTAGTCGTAGACTCGTAAGGTAGTCGAGTAGTCACGGATCAGGTTGTCGCAGTGGCTCGCTGGTCGCACATTAAAGTGTCCGTCACGGCATCGGCATCGGCATCGGACTGCCTGGATTTTGTCCGGCTTCTCTCTTCCAGTTTTGAACTCGAGGCAGGGATTTGTACTGAGGGACAGCAGTTTGGGTCCTCCTGTTGATTTGCAGCTAGAGATGAAGGAGAGGAGGAGGACGACGACGAGGTATGAGCAAGCCAAGTAAAATAGGAGAGAAGAGAAAGAGAATTGCTAATGGTGAAAGTCGGAAAATGGATCAAGTTGGGCAAAGTTGAGTTGAGCGCTGTAGAAATGCGACGAGACCTGCGTTGCTGCTGCATCCAGCTGGAGCTGCTAAGGTACCTACCTAGGTACTTACCTTACCTGCCTTAAGCCGGTAAGGTGCCACTGGCCACCGTCCACGTGCCTGTGCTGATATGATTTGGGGTCCAGCTCCGGCCGCTGCTCATGCTCACACTCACACTCACACTCAAACTCACACTCACACTCACCCAGCCTCTCACCTCTCACATCTCACTCTAGCTCTTCCGCTCCAACCCCGGCAATCACATGCAAATTCACAACCCAGACGCCCAAAGCTCCCCATCTATCCATCCATTCATCCATCCGTCCCCGGGTAACTCAAGGGAAGCAAACTACTGATCCACTATTCATCCCAGCTGCAACTCATCCCGCATAAGGATAGATGGTCATGAGCATGCATGGTTGATGGATCCCAACTCAAGACTCAAGTCCGGGCAATAAATGGTCGATACCTAACCTCCTGCCTGCACTACGGATGTATCCTCATCTCTCTGCCACCATCTTCATTCATAACACTCGATTAAGCTCTCCCTCATACGTGTTTTCAACAATACGATATCGATTTACGCTATAACTCTCAATCAGGCATGCACGCACCTGATGGCGCTCAGCTAACACCGCGTCTCCGTGTTGATACCAACAGAAAGCTCTCATGACTAAAAATCCCCACGTTTTCCTTGTCCCCAAACTCCTAAATCATTATACCGAGCGATTGAGCAGCATCGCTATTCCGCCTCGGGATATTCCATGTCTCTTGCGAAAGCCAGTCTAACAATCGATGACCGAGCCCAGATGTTCACGATCAAAGAAAAAAAGGAAGAAAAAAAAAAGGAAAAAAGAAGAGACTGAACCTCTTGACGCCGTTTAGTCATCCAAAAACAACACCGTCCTTGGATTCCTCACCAGCAGTGACATTCCGTATCAATATAGGTGCTGCATGTCTGGATTCTTTCCCGAAAGCCATTTGTAGAACTTGGTCGCTTGTAGCTTTGCTCCGCGTTGGCTGCCTGTCAACGAGTTGGCCTCAAACACCAGCTTCTGCTCCACCTTCTCGCCCTTCTCCGTCTTGAGCTCCAATTGTACTGTCGTTCCCGCCATCTTTGCTGCCTTAACTAGGCTAGCGTCCACAACGGCCTCCATGCCGTCTTCTTCCTTGCTTCGCATGATGCTGCTCGATTCGTCCCCGGCGTGGAAACGCAAGAATTTTCCCGGCTGCACCCAGTGCTGACTGCCCTGGTGAAACTCCGACACGTCGATAAAGTTCTCGACATCTCTCTTGCCTCCCAGAGCAGGAGAGACCGCCGCACTTCGGTCGATGAGAGGCGATTGGAGCGCCGCAGGCGTGATCCGAGGTGACTCCGATGCCCGGACTGCACGCCACTGCTCACTGTTGACCAAGCTGGCGTGCGTCAACACCTTGGGAGTGCTACTACCCGACGCAGTGCCGTTGCTTGTACTGATGACCACCGTCTGCTTGATCGCCCCTCGCTCCTGGTCGCCGTGGGCACTGCTGCTGCTCATGCTCGCGATGCTCATGCGAGGATCGGGTCGGCGAGCAGCGCTCTCGCCGCTGGCGGCGCTAGCACTCCGCGGAGGCTGGGGAAACGGGCCGTTCAGCGCTGGCGACGCTGCCTCCTTGATGCTCTTAGTGGAAAGTGCGGGCGAAGGCTGCTGACTAGCTCTCGTCATTTGATCGAGATGAATCTCTTGGCTGGGCTTCTGAGGCAATGGGTGTCGGAGTGGCGCTGGCTCAACAACGCCCGGGGAAGACTTGGATAGTAGAGGCCGACGGACTGCTTTTTCAGAGCCGGCTGTGTCGTTTACCAAGTCTGCAATTTGCAGCTTGGGGCTTACACGAGGAACTTCCTTGTCTAGGCTTGGCGATTTAGAAGCAGCCTTCATCGCGCTCTGAGCCAAGCTTGCCATTGATGCTTGGTCCATCTGAGACTGGCTCTCGCTGTCTTGCCGGGGTGTTGAAGCTTCTACCGCCGGGTGCGCACTATCTTGGGCATTTTGCCTCTGAGACGCGTTGCTCCCGGCAATCTCAGTAAGCGCAGACCGCGCAGTCGCCGATACAACCGTCGTCTGGCTTGATCCTGGTGATGCGGTGCTCACAGGCGCGATGCCATCAGTTTGAGGAGCTAGATTGGGAACTGAAGTTGGCCCGTTCACAGCCATCTCTGCAGATGCCGGCTGAGGTGTCGCGGGGGTTCCAAGGGCGACGGTAACGGGTCCTCCATTGGGGTTCGTGGGGATGGGCGTCGCATTCTCCTTGCTATCGGTTCGATCCTTGGACGGCGTTACTTGGATAGCATCGTCCAATGCCACATCATCCCTATCAGCCACCGCCTTGTCTTTCTTGGCTGACAGACGAGTGCCAGCAGCAGCTCCAGATCTCCCCGTCATCCAACTATTCTCACTCAGCCGCGACGTGGGCCGCACCTCTTGAGTGCTGCGTCTGAGAGGCTGCTGAGGTGTAGTTGGGCCTTCGTCAACATCCGCCATGTCATCATCTGAATCCTGACCATTTCGGCGCTTCGGCTCCACGTAGTCTTCGTCATCCGAATCGTCAGCTGGAGGAGGGTTGTCGCCAAAGTCGTACATGTCAACATCGGGTACAGGGTCCGAGTCCGATGCCGAAGCAAACGACGGCAGCTTTGCGGGAACTGTCGCTGTCGTCGCCGTCTCTGTCGTCGACTCCACTTCTGCTCCTGCCGGTGATTGCCTTTCCTGGACATGGGCCAGCATGGCCTCGAACGAGTCGTACCCACGGATCTCAGCATACTTCTTTCTCGCGTTATTGGCCGGGTCCAAGGGATCAGTAGATCGGTCAGGGTCATCAAGCAGCAAAGGCTTCAGAATGAACTTGACGCCAAGCCAACCCAGTCTAGTGTTGCCATTCTTTTCAAACCACAGAACGGGAACATCCCTATCCAACTCACGCGGCTCGCCATCTCCGTAACCAGGCGCCCAACCCCCAATGCCTTCGTCATTATACGTGTAGCACGTAGGCCTAATCTTTCTGTCGCAAAGCTGTGTGTCGCTGAGCCAGCCATCCCATCCGCACATCTTCAAGGATGTCCAGCCCAGTATCATAACAATGTAGAGCTTATTGCTCCTCGGCCATTTTGCGTGGTAAATGTCACCTGGGATTGGATTCATAATGTGATCCCCACCACGTTGCTGCTTCTCCTCCTGTGATCTCGATTCCAACTTCGCTTGGTAGGATCCTGCACTGTTGGGGGGTGCCTGGAATGATGAATCAGAAACTGACGGGTCCCTAACAGGAGCCATCGCGTGAGCAGCCGACTGTCGTTTACCACCGGATTTCGGGCCGTGCAGCTGGTTCAGGGGCTTGTAACCATTTTCGAAAGCAAGGCGGACGCATTCGTTGTTCATTGCAGAAAGCTCCTCTGTACAATCCACGACGTGGAATCCAATGGTTTCAACCGCCAACTTGTGTTCCTTCTTCTGATGACCATGCGAAGCGCCGTGAAGGTGCTTGGCTGCCGCTGCGAGGGCGTTCTGCTTGAAATGCACACCGTGCTCGTCGCATCGCAGAATATAGAAAACGTCTTCGAATTTGACGATGTTGTGCTTGTATTCCGCTTTGCCGTCTTGGTAAACTTCGGCAAAGGTGATCGTCCTGGGAGCTATTGACTGTGGCGTATCAGTTCTTGCGCGCTTCGGATCTGCATCTCTAGATGACATGTCGCTAGCATCCGACTTCCTCTTGGCCATCTTGTGGCGGTCAGAGTGGGAGTCTATAGAATGTCTCAACCCATCTTCCGCTCGTAACATGGCCCCGTGCGCAAAGTTTCTCCCATCAACCGCCTGTATTCTGTCCACACGGGAGCCCATGGGTCCAGCATTCATCGGCGGCAGAGGTACCCGGTTGCTGCGATCAGCTAGGTTGGGCTGAGTGCCACTGACAGGCTGTCCAGAACCTGCTCTCGGCGGGCCGTAATGATTGCTTCCCAACGTAGGAACATGGGGTTGCGAAGGAAGCACCCGAGGGGCCCCATTTGCCACTGGGTTGTTCACCGGTCGATTTGGGTGATATAAGGCTGAAGTACGAGGCGAAACCTGCTGCTGGCCAGGCTGGTTATGATGAACCCAGGCCTGTCCTTGAGTTGGGTGGCCCTGGCTAACCTGCTGTGACTGGCGAATTTGATGGTCGAGCTGAGACGGCATCGGGGCCGAGCTGCCGTGCCCAGGCATTCCATTTGTCGGCCGCTGCTGAACGGACTGATTTGGCACCATGGGGCCCTGTGGCAAAGGCTGACGTGCCTGCTGTGGAGGTGTGCTCATCGGCATGGTTGAGGGTGAGCCGCGCCCAGCTGGACCGACGCGTGCGCCGACAATCTGAGCCGACGGATTTGTTGGCGTACGTCCCAGCATGCCAGCGTTTGGGGCGTAACCAGTGTTGCGTACAGAGTAGTTGCCGGGCACGGGGAAACCTATATGATGTTCTCGAAGAGCGTCCGCTTCACGTCTTGCGCGGTCCTTTTCCTCAGCGTCACGCCTTTGCTGGCAGGCGGCATATCGATGGGATCGGATTTCGTGCTGGTACTTTTGAAGAAGCTCGCGAGCTTTCTGTGGTAGATTTAACGTGTCGGCGAAACGGGCCTCGTCGTCGAGATCGTGGCAGGCGTCACGCTGCTGTTGGGTAAATTTGGCGTTTACGTTCTCCTTTTCAGCCTCGAAGCGGGCCTTGAGCGCTTCAAACTCTGCAAACCAGCGTTTGCGATCTTGGTCTAGGTCTGTTTGACCATTTTGCGACATGGTCGCAGTGGAAGATGAGATACTCGCCATGACGGCGAGATTAAGTTTGCTGTAGGAGGATGAAATGCTGTCTCGTCCACTCGGCAGAGGTTTTTATAATCAAGGTCTCTACTGATAGTAAGTTGACCGACTGACTCAGTCTGGACGACCCATGCCCAAGACTCAGCCACTGGAAGAACCTATTTCAAACATTGCATTAGATACTGCATTTCAAATTATCTTCATCTTGTGGGTCAACGGAATTACGCAAAAAGAAAAGCGTATCGGTTGTGTTTGTACCTCTACGTGATCAGGGCCCAATGGAGTATAATCCACTCAATGACCACAGTCGAGTAGTCTACCCAGAGAGTTTTCCTATGCGATTCGTAATCCACGGAAAGAAGAACGAATAATGTCGACGATTAGTCGGTCAGTCGAGATGGAATCCTTAACAGAGCTCGCAGACAGATGCGATGTCCTTTGCAACGGTAGCACGGAGGTGATCCGTAAAGCAGTAAACCGCTGAGGGTCAGGGCGATGAGACTCGACGACTCTTAGACAAGGGAATCGTGAAATCAAGAGTCGATAAAAGGCAGAGAGGAGAAAGGTGGTAAGGTTTTGCTCGGAGTGTACCGGTCAAGGACAAAGTGATGAGCACAGCCAAGATCAAAGGGACTTTGGCGTCGGTAGGCAGGCAGCGTAGGCAGGTGCGGTGGTGGTAGCGAGAAGTATGGTCGTGGGTGGAGTTGTGTAGGTGGCAAGTCAACGACGTCTGCCTATTGGGATTTCCTGTAGTTCGAACGGATACCTGCTCGGTCCCGGTCAGGATTAGTTGCCAGGCAGAAATAGGGTGAAAATGAATTAGATCCAGATCTCAGATGCAGAGGTGCGGGACCCCTCGTCTATCGGTATGGTGGTGATCGAAAATAGAATTGGGAGTTGTCAAGGGCGCCAGTACTTGCCACTTGGAGAGGTGAAGTCGTTTGGACGGGGGTGTGTGAAAAGGTGCAGAGTTTGGGTGTGTGGGAGGCGGAGAAAAGAAAAAAAAAACCCCGATGAAAGGAATGGGGGCGGGTGGTCGGTAAGAGGGCGATAGAAGGATGGCAAACAACAAAGGGTAAGAAGGTAGATGCAAACAGTGAGTGACTGTGAAGGTTGAAGGTGACCAACGCTGACTGGTGATGGATGGACCTGGAAGATGAATGACGGACGAATATGTTGGGTGAAATGGGTGAAGGTAAAGGCAAGGTAAGGTTAATAGATAGGTACCTACCTCGAGGTGAGTAAGGTAAAGTATGGGGAGGTATGGGGAGGTATGGGGAGGGAAGGTATGGAAGGGCAGGGAGTGGAAGGAAAGGAAGGAGGGAAATTAATCCATTGTTTTGGGAAAGAGCGAATGCTGTTGGGCCTGCCAATGAATAGTATTACTACTACATAATAGCCACCAGCTAAGGTAGGATGGCAGGTGCGCCTCTGCCGCCCGTTGCTTCCTCTTGGGTCTTACCATGCCATCATAGACAAGGTGAGAAAGGACCAACCAGACCGGGGAGTAAAGGAAGGCAGGTAAGGACCGTAAAGGTGAAGTGAGGTAAAGAAAGAGGCTACCGTACCTTACTGGGCAGATACCCGGTAAGGCATGGTAAAGCAATGGGAACCGCTCATTGCCATGTACGTACCTGATTTGTTTGCTATTCTACTGATTCCCTGAGGTATTGGCAATCGATCAGAGCCCATGCCAACCGAAGAGAGGAAAAACAAGATGAAAATCCTACTATTCGTACAACAAGCGAAATGTCCAATTATCCCTACTGATGAAAACTCAGAGGGGGGAGGAAGACGGGTGTACGGTGTCCAAGTAGGAGTTTGTAGCAAGACAAGTGGAATGAGGATGGGCCGAGGAAGAATGATGAATACTTTTAAGAAGAAAAAGCAAGACCAGGGCAGCATACAGTGTGGAAGTATCCGTATCCGTAGGCAAAATGCTCATTTGGTGGCTACTTGTACCAGACCAAGCTAGACTAGAGACATCTGGAGTACGTCTGACTGGGCTAGAGTGTGCATGAGTGGTGAGATAATCTGAGAGAGTGTGTGGGAGGTGTGTTCTGTGTCAAGCACATGCAAGCTGTTTCTGGGGGGGGGGGGGCTTTTTTGGTTTATCAGCGCCTACTTTACGCCGTACGGATACCTCTTACGGATACAGGAAATTGATTTATTATCTGTCTCTTCCTTTTTTTTTTCTGCCCCTCCGCTTGCCTTTACGGAAAGAGAGACATTGCTCTCTCGGATCCGGCTGGGATTGGACGACTCTACGGCCAAGCGTCTTGGAGGTATCGGTACGTATCTGCTAAGTTCTTAACCCTTTTCCACCTCACCTTACCTCACCCTCAAGTTGCTGACACAAGGTACCGGGGTACCCACACTTCTCTATGGCTGACCGCGTAAGGTATCTTAAGTCCGCGCTTCTCTCTCCCTGCCCGGGTCTCTCGCTCTCACTCTCACTCTCACTCACTCTCGATTTCAGGTACCTTGTTACAGGTCCTATCATCACTCGCTCTCTGCCTGTCTAGGTATCTATCTCTCAAACACCTTTCTGTTCTCGCACTCTGATTACCTGAATTTTACGCAATGGAGCCATCCGCCGCTGCCCACCATTCATCGGAAAACCTACTCAGAAATGGACGTAGCGTTCCGAAGGGTGGGTACCCCCGTCACAGAAGCTCCAGAGGTACATGCTTCACAGGCCCGCTCACTCATTAAGGTACGAAGTATGGACGGTAAGGCGTGCCAATCCATCCCTCCTCAACCGCGTATCCGTTATAATACCTTGCCATACGAAGGACAGAGCACTCGTACGCCCATACCTAGCCTTAGCTACAGTGTTCCTATTACACTCGTGGCACAGTGGGCTGAATCCGTATCTAAGCTCCCCTTCAGCCCGGCGCCACGCCCACTCAGTTCCCAGCCCGCTTCTCCAAAGACATCCACACGGTCATTCACTGATGATTCAACTTCCAATGAGTCCCAACTCATCCCGTCCCATCTCAAAAGTATTGGACCGTGGCCGTGGCCTTCGACTCGTAAGGTAGTGAGTGTATTGTACGTATCCGATTAGCCGAACTTGTCCTCACCATTGGGCATCTCATCGCATTAGGGACCTCTTCAGCGAGCCCCCAAAACACGCCAATTCGCCGCTCTCAAACGCCGTCGGGCTCATACTTCCATGTTCCACCCCCGACTTCCGAGTCCTCAATGATTATCTCCGGCCCCGTTCATCTTTCTCGCTCTCGTGAAGGCAAGGCAGAAAAACTTTCAAGACACAAAAGATTGCCATTGATCCATCATCCCCGTGGCTCTAGCCTCTCAGTCTTCCTCTCATACACCCGGGGACCCACCACCATCACCACACCATTGATCCCTTAAAGAGGGGGGAAAGCGAACCTGCTCGCCTCTCACTGCTCGCTCGCTACGGTACTCCATGGGTTCCATGGGCTCCAAGCAGACGGGAGCAATCCGCACGGCATCTGATTTGCGCCAAATCCCCGTATCACCCTGCGCCCCGCGCCCCCTGGCAGGCCATGGTCGCCATGCTCCCATGATTATGTAGTTGGTGCATTACGGATACTCCGCTGTCCGTACTTTGCCAGCTTACCATTGACCATCACTGTCACCATTAACTAGGTATTGGTACCCTTGCCCTGAGGCTTGCCATGCTACAATATGCCTTGTCGCTATGAACGACCACCCTAGTCGCTAACTCGCACTGCTGAGTACTCACCTCCTTATCTCATCTCACCTCACTTCACCTCATCTCATCACACGAGTGTGACAACGTATATCACCGCCGCTCTTAACCTAACCGGCCTTACGAGGAAGCCGAAGCCTCGGATCGATACGCAGGTACTTCACTTATCTTCTTCCGACTCTTCTCAAACACATAGGACTAAAAGATTGCATGGCAAAGTCTGGGCATGACTCTCCCACCGGTCTGACAGAACGTAATTCAGACTCAATCGTCTAGACCCTCACTGGCCAGTACTCCGTATCTCCGCGTGCTTTACAGCCTAACTGGACCCGTGACTTGGCACCACTCGCAAGGCAGGGCACTGGTATATTGTGCCGTCATACAGTTCATAATAGCGTATTTCATTGGTTCACCATTGAGCATTTTTGGTAATTTTCGCCCGGCGTCCCACGCGACTCATCACGGACCCCCTGCCAAACTATCACTTTCCTGGCGCATTTGCACTTTCACCAGGACATTGGATCAGCGTGTAAAGTCCGGGAGACGTTAGGTCGATCGGCATCGTGATCAGGGCCGTCGAACATTGGCTTGCTTGCACCTTGTTTCCCGCCCGCTTACAGCTCACCTTATTCCTCTGGGTAGTTCCCGAGATCCGCGTACCCAACTACAAAGTACACGTTTTCGCCCTCGGCTTGTCTATCACCTTGCCTTTACGGATAGGTACCTATGTTATCATGAGCCGTGGTCCGAAGTATTCGTACAGCGCACGTACTGGGCGGTGGCACACATCCGACACCCGCCATCCACTCCTCATCCATGTCGCAGTTCAGTTGAGAGTTGCGGACTCAAACTCTTAGATGATGCCGCTATTCCAAGACGGACCATGATTCCGCGTAGCCCAACTCAAGACATGCCTTTCGTGATTTATCCCACTCGAAACCGCTCACTCGCCGTGTCCGCGGCCCGCGTGGGATCTTGTCCGTGGATCCCATTACAACTTGAACCCCCCCCCCCTTTCCCGGAAATGTATGCACGCACCATGACCAAACCATGCGCTGCCGGCTGCCGTAGAGATCTATACCACGGAACCGTCGCCGTGCTTTTCCTTTCTACTGCTATCTTATCACAGTAGAGCGCAATTTGACTTTTGGGCTTCCTCTCTACCCGTACGTACGTACGTACGGAGTACCGTCTGATATTATGATTTCCTGGTCCCCCCGTTCGCCGTCGATTGTGAGCCGAACATACACACACAGGAACATGGGCAAAATCAACTGATACTGGCTGGCCCCTTCTTGGCGTCGCACTGAACGCGCACTCACCTCACAGGCGCACCGGCGGCGCAAACGCCCAACCAACCAAACTAACACACAATGCTTGCAATGCTTGTTGACGTTCTTACCGAATGAAGAAACTATTTCCACGATCCACCACCACTTAAAACCAAGCTTCTGTGCACGCAAGCATCCTACCAAAGTGTCCAACTGTCCAACATACTCCCGTAGTCCCGTTTGCTTGTCTTGTAAATTGTTGGCCCCTCTCAAACATTAATTTGCTTCCGGTGCCCCATTGTCCGTCCCAATGATTACTTATTAGCCCTTACACTCCATAACCCGTTCCGCACAGTCATAAACTCTCTCTTGACAGGTCATCACTTTAGCCTTTCCGTGCCTCCTCAGCGCCGCCTCACGATACCAATACCTAAGGTACTGTACCTGGCTCGGTGTTCGCATCAAAACTCTGTGCAGACCAGTGCAACTTCGTCCAGTTGAACCATATTGGTCCCCCGTTATCCGTCCTCTTGTCTATTTCTGTAACTCAATCCCACCTGGTGCAACTCCAATATTCACCGCGGACGGTCAGTCCGATACCCCCTTATGCACCCGCCATTACTCATGCAACTGGGTGATAGAGCGTGCGCGCTGCGCAGTGCCTTCAATGCAGCCAAACAGCGTTCGGTAATCGGAACCCATGTGACCGTGGACGTCCTGTCAGACATCAAACTACAATAATATGTGGCTGTGGCTTGGATTTGCGTTCATGAGACCTGAGCGAGCCGTGCACACCGAAATACGTGAATATTCCTGGTGCGTAACTGTACATTCCCCCCATAGTACAGCTGGCATGCAGAGCTTGACTTAATTGACGCCATTCATACCATGGATTACACATCCATAGTCAATCACGAAAAGAAACACCGCGACAGAAAGCAACCAAAGGTGGCGGAATGAAAGCCCGGACTGCCCGGCCTCCTGAAGTTCATCGACCGCAAGGAGGGACCCCCCATAATAGCCGAGACTTCGTAATGTCGTACAAATCCGAGAATCCCATCCCCTTCAATATCGGCATCCCACAATATGGGGCCCAATCAAGGATCTTTTTTGCGAAAGCGAACAACTCTGTAACTTTGAAGGGACCTGTGCCTCTACTGTACAGGCTTGGGGCGAACCAGCCCCCTCTAGGCTCTAGCAATTCTCTAACACCCTGCTCCAACGCAAGGTCACACCCGCACGTACGCACAGCCGAACAGCGGAATTCGATCTCCGTAACCCATATCGTTCTTACGGAGTATGCCACACTGTGACACTAACAGCCTTTTCCTGGAAGGGCGCGGCAGGCACAGAATGACTAATGAGACCATACGCCCTACGTCGGGATAGGTAATCCGTAGACTGACCACCCAGGTAGGGCATTCTTCTTATTCTCACCGCCAGGCCAATCAATCTTTCGATTCTTTCCACGTCTCGGCATCTTTACCTATCCATAGGAACACATAAACGTCAGTGTATCAACTGCAGGGCCAAGTCTTACAAGTACTATACCCCTTTGCGCCCAATCCCCGTCCGCCACGCATGTAATCAGTTATGGGGAGTGCGCCCGCCACACTTTCGCATTCATAGCAGCTCATGTGCCTCATTCTTACCACCAGGCGGCAAAACAATAGGCTATGCGGGAATACAAGCTATTGCTAGCCTGGGATGGAAGGATGCTCTGATTTGCCGTCTCTTCTCAGCCTGCATTGCGCCATCGACACATACAGCCGCACTATCGGCCTGTCAAGTTGCGTATCATGCAAGTCTGAGTCAGTGAGAGCGTATGCTTAGCGAGTTCTACGCCTCTTGTGCAACATGAAAGATCGTTGATGACTATCTACATCTTTGAGCTTGCTTGTCTTGGTAGGTATCAGATTGAGACCGTCGTATCAGTACGGATACTCGGACCTGATTCGATATCGTAGACGTAGAGTTGTGTTGAAACACCCGGCCTACATTATAACTTCTCATATATGCTGATTACTTTTCTCATCAGCAAACTGATGAAACGGCAGTTGTGAGGTGGAACCTCGCAAATCTCATCATAGACTTCACCCGCCGTCCATATCGTCGCCGAACGCTTCTTGGATCGGCCATGGAATGGCGGAGCACTCCGGCCATAGACGGGGTTCCAAAGTCCCATACTTGAATCCCTGTCTCACTAGGCGTAGATCACTAATCTCCATCAAAATCCGCCCTGTCCAACCGAGGGGCGGGTAATGCCAAGTTCTCATTAAGAGGGGCGGGCGAGTAAAGGATCACCTTCCTCAGTAATCACTAATAGCTGACATGACACAAACGCTGACCACTAAAAAGTGCGAAGTCTACGCATAGCAGAGTGCATTTAAAGAAATTCGTATAGTATGGTAGGGTTTACGAAAACTCGGACCGATACCGAAAATTCGCTGGGATGGGACGTGTGTAGAAAGCTTCACTACGTTTTGCATTCCTGCGAGGTTGTATGTTTCCTTATTGTTTCCGCCTTAAGTCCCCGGAAAGAGGTGGCCCGAACGCAAACTAGCCGATAGAAAAGAAGAAAAAACAAAGAGCTCGCTATCGGTTCTACGCCACTGCTAAACGGAAACACTGTACAGTCATTAGCGATGCACTCTTATTTTGCCATTTTAGGGCATTGGTTCCCCGTGCGGAAACTTGCCTGATTCGTGCAGTTGAGACCGCTACCCAAACTCTGCTCCCTGGATAGCTCCGGGGAATGCAAAGTGTCAAAAGCTGGGTGGGTGTGGGCTGCGGTGCGAGTGGTGTCTGTCTGGATGCCGAGCAGTGCGGTTGCCCCTTATTAAGAAATCCACAGCCGCCGTGTCAGTGTCCCTGGCCGAGCCACGAGGTTCTCGCCAGTCATCCCAAGTTGCGTGCAGTGTCTACGAGTACCGAGGGTTCATAGGAGAGGGAAGTAGCCTGTTGTGTCTGGGTAAAGTTTAAAGCTATTGTGGACATTGCGCCGACGCTCTACGTACTCCGCATGAGAATTTACGTACGGATAGAGTCGAGAAGCTCTTTGGAATTGAACTAAGAGGAAGCTCGGGTCTTATTTATTAAGATTGTCCGCGGGGAGCGTGGATCGCGACTGGGTGGCATACAGATATTTCCCGGCGCCGAAGACCCAGCTATCTCTTGCGCCAATGTGTGCGCACTCTCGGAACACCGGATTATCTTTCATGACCCAAGGTAAGGAATGGTACCCAACGGAGAAACCGAGGCTCAATTGCAGCATGGATTATCGCGAGAAAACTACCGCACTTTTGACCATTGTAAGTCAATTCTCCGTGGCTATGTTTCAGAATCTAGTCCTAAAGCATGATGAGATGCCAGACTGTATGCATCTGTCAGAGACTGACGCCCACATCACGCAGACATAGTCCGCATGGTTATGCCCAAGCTGTAACAACTGCATCTCCCTACTATGCAGAATTGTGATGAACAAGCTTTCACCACAAGTCAGAAAACAGAGACGGGTGACCGTGGCATTTACTTTCTTTGACATGTAATTCGGGTGCCTCCGACCTGGCCTCCAGAAAAGACTTCATCGACGGCATCATAGAATGCGGTGAGGTCAGCATCTATCGACGGATCTTTCTTGTAGGCTTCGGCACGCTCATGCACAAAGTCTGTCCAGACGGTTGACATATCAACCCAGTCAGTGACCTCGAATCCAGCCTTCTCGAGCTCTGCAATATAATGCTTTTTGTCAGGCAAGTCCGGACAGGAAACCGAGCTTCTCAAGACTTCGAGAGTCTTGGCGTCCAGAGATGTTCGGGCAAAGAAGTCTTCAATGTACATCTTGCCTCTTGGCTTGAGGACACTGTGTGCTCTCTTGAACAGGGCTTCTCGCTCTGGGATATGCAGGATGCAAAGGAATGAGACGATGTGATCAAACGGCGCACCCATTTTAGCTGAGTCAAGTTCGAGGAAGTTGCCGTTAGTGGATGTCGCATTTGCCCCAGCACCCGATTTTTCGTTAATCGTCTGAGCAATGTCATGAATCTCCTTTTGGAGTTCAATGCCAGCTGTCGTAGCATCGAAATGTCGGTAGAGATATCTGCCCGTGCCGCCGAACCCGGATCCGATATCGAGCACCCGCTCCCCGGCTTGCAGGCCCAAAGACTTGGCAGCCGTTTCGATCGCACTATCGCCCAGGTAGTGCATGCAGTCAAACGACTTTGTGTCTTCTGCCTCCCATTCCTTCTTCTCCTTTAATTTGTCAAGCGTGCGGTGAACCCGGTTGAGCTTGTAGAGGTTCATGTCCGGGACATCGGAGGCGGTATTGCGAATGGACGGCATGATGAATGAGGGGCCGGTAGTTGGTTCGGGGTTCTCGGTCTCGGTTCTAGTCGGCTGATTGTAGGCAACAGGCCGAGTCAGAAAGTCTCTTTAGGTCCCCGGGCAGCACGAGCCCAAAGCCAATGCTAAACAAAAGGGTACAGCTCACTGGCTTTTGTACTGGTCCGCACGAGTAGGTAGCACGCTCCCTTGAATGGCACCGTTGGGATACTTCTTGTTTTGTTGGTGGTAGCGCCAATTTACCCCTCGCCTTCACCGTCGACGTCACACATTGGTATTGCGGAACATTACAGGTCGCACGTTCCGCCAGGGATTAGAGTTCCGTTCCGCGATGAAAATGATAGTGCGGCTGTGCTGAGAGACTGCTATCCTATGGATGGTGAGACAGGCCAGAGACCTTGTAAGAAATAGCTGACGTACCTCGGTGAGACATTGTCTATCAAGCAGGATGGTGCCGCAATTGGTTACACGTCCATGCAACTGCATAAGTGGGCGTTATCTCAGCGTCTGCCTCGATAGAGTCGAGGTTCCGGAGATAAAGATTGTACGACAGAATGAGGGGGATGCATTGGATGCGCAAGGTTTATGGAACTTCTCCAACTTCAAGAGTGGGGGAACCGACATGAGGGCTGCAGATCGAACACGTCTATTCTTGTTGTAGATTTGTTCCGGAATCGACGCTCAACGCCATTGAGTTCCGGCTTTTGTGAATTAATGGGCGTAGAACTGTGGTTGCTCACCTACAACTGTTAGACACCCGACTTCTGTGAAAACGATATGGCAATTAGAGACCTACAGTAGACACGAAAATAGCCTTGAAGCAAACAATGAGATGTGTCGAGAGGTCAAAGATTCTAGATCTCAACTTTGTTACACACTCAATTAGAGTAGGAGACAGCCTCATTTGCATAGTAGCAAGTATCTTAATGAATTACTGTCAGTATCTCACCCAATTCCACTAATCTCAAGCATCACTCTTCCCTGAAAGAAACTTCGGGTTGAAATATCCTTTTTTTACTACCTCAGTACACCGGCGTCCTTTCAATCCAAAAGTTGCAGTAAATTGAACCCAAAATTGGACCCTTTGTTCTCACTCGGGTAGTATCGCTTACTCGCAAATCCCGACCTCAACAACAATGCCTCAAATTGTTCCATACCAAGTCGCATCAATTATTATTGCCTCTCCCACGGCTTCTCCGAATGGTATCTGCGTTGCTCTGATGCACTTCCTCGTATTGAGCGAAGTATATCAAGTCCCCCGCCTTTGACATCTGCATCAACAACCTGAGACAAAGGTTGGTCCCAAGCTGCTGGCTCGGGCACATCCTCTGTCATCGCAGCAATGTACCGAAGCGTTGCGTTGATGAAAGTTGAGTTGTAGCCACCTGTGGCAATCCTGTTTGGCTCTCCATGTGCAGGCAGGATCTTCGAGATGGGGAAAGTCGCCATTCTTTGAAGCTCTTTCTGATGCATTGGCAAGCTCTTGGCATCAGCGATGAAGGTCGCCGTATCCTCCACGGTATCACCGGCGAAGATCAGTTGCTTCGAAGGGATGTAAAGAATAGTTCCATCAGGAGTGTGAACTTGAAAGTTGTGCAATTCAACAGAGAGGTTGCCCACCTTCATCTCCTTCTTCCCACTGTAGAGTTCCGTAGGGGGCACAGCAACAATGGCTGGGCTATCAGCAGCAAGATCCTGCGTATTCCTCTTCACTGTCCGGGCCGTGATTTCGTGTCCGACAATCGTGGCCCCCCCTTTGGAAAAAACTTCAGTGCCAGCAATGTGATCATTGTGAAAGTGACTGATCACCACCGACATCTTGGTGACACCTTGGCTCTGAACATGACGCATCACAGCACCTGCATGGTCGGGAGTAATGTGAGAGTCGTATATGATAGCCTCGTTGCCGTCTATGATGGAATATGTCGATACTCCCAACGTGAACGCGCCATCGTCAAGCCAATTGGGCTGGTCGGAAGCGAATCGTTCTCCAGTACGCCCATCATAATAGGCAAATATACCCGGATAGGGGTTCAGAATGCGGAGACTCTGCAATGTATCTCCTCCTCTGGCTCTACCAACGATGCTTGACATCTGTCAGGTGGAAGAACTTATGTGAGACTTGCTCCAACATACCCTGGAAGCGGAAATGAAATGAGAGAGTCTCGTCGGGAAAGCCCGCAGGCGCTGGCAAGGCCAGGAAAGCTTAGAAGCAAAGCCTTCATCGAATCAGCAATCATTCCGAATCATGCGAGGTAGACGCGGGGAATTGGTGAATTCCTACGGGCAGCATGTCAGCTCTATGTTGGATCTTACAAATCGTTGGAATGTATTGCAGCAGGTGGTATGAAGACCTTTTTCGACAGCTTCAAAGGACGTAGTCACTACTTATTGAACGCCTTCGAGAAGTCACGCCAAGAATTCATTGTCTCAATATTTTTAAATGATTACGACGTCTTTAATTGATGACTGTATATGCCATGAAACGGCATGAAACGTTGATGAACGTTCCCAAACCATGTTTCATCTGAATTCATCAATTATTTCGGAATCCGACAGCCGGGGCCTTAAGCTTGTTTATGCAACTTCTCTGTAAAGCGTGAAATTTGATAGGTCAGAAGGTCTCAGTCGAAAAGATAAACTCTGGTTGTTTCGTATCGTGCCATTTTAGTTAGCTAACCTGTTCGTCTTCCACGACAGTGCTCATGGTCCCGAGCCTTGTACTGGATAGTAGAGCGAGCTGTATAGAGAAAGAGAAAAGCTAGCCAAGGGAATTCTAGTTGCAGGACGGCTCGATCCATGCGGATTTGAAGATGGTCAGATCAAATTGGGAAGAACAAGGGCAAGCATACAGATTCCAAGGAAAGTGAGCCCGGAAGTCTTGCAGGAACTTAACATCACCGCTTCAAGTCTTCTCCAACAACATCACTTATATGACGAAGTTGCGAGGCTTATGAATTACCTATATTGAGACCTACGGCTTATTCACGGAAACTCCGGTTTCTATTCCGAGCATCCAACGATTGGTAGCGCTCGTAAGTTCTCAAATTTAAGCGTGGTATTTCATCCAAACCTGTTGTCGTTGGACATTCTTTCATCCATGCCATGTGCACCATCAAACGGCGAAGGAGAAATATCGCACAGGCATGGCTGGGGAGTTTTGCAAGGCGGAGCCTTTCCAACATATCTAAAAGCAATAAGCAAGCTCATCGTGATGAAGAAGCCTATAAAGAAGCCGATGAAAGTGATCCATAAGACACACCACAGCCAAGTCGGAATGAATATTCCCTTGTGCAGCGAAGTGGAGGAAGCTTGCTCAGAATCGTTGTCAGAAGCCGTCCCTAATGCACTATTGGATTCCTGCATTGGAGTCGACTGTTGGGGAGTGGTAAGGCCGGCCAAACTCATACGAAAATCCGGTGCATCAAGCGAATCCAAGTGTTCGTGGAATCTAGTGCGACGACCAACCTCTGGTTCTTCAACTTCACTATCAGTCCCACCATTCCTCTGACTTCCTTGGCCATGCTCTATAACAGATGCGGTATTGTCTAGATCAGTTTGCAAGTTTTCCGGAAGTTCCACTGCTCCAAATGCATCTTCAAATGTCTGGCCATTGTGCTAAGTTTCGATTGTGAGGGTTTCTTCGTGGAGGCGATCTTTCACAAGTGGTAAATCAGAGAGATCCATATCTATCGTCTCTGTGGCTTCATCGTTTGCACCTCTAGCAGGAAGTTGAGTGCTCATCGGACTTGGTGTCAAGGCTTCTAAGTCTTCGTATGCCTCCTGAAGTCCGATAAGTCTCTGAATGAGTTCGCCTTCCGTCATTGGCTCAGATACATCCGAGTCAATTTCGTAACTACCGCCCACACAGCTGCAACCATCCCACGAGTTTCGTGGCTGCTTGCCATTACGTTGTAAAGCCCAATGAATATAGTCGTGAGTCCCCGCATCACCGGAGCGTTGAATTCTGTCTCGTGAATGATTATGCTGTTCCATGATGTCAGGTAGATATTCGGGTAGGGGGTGTTTGAATACTTCTCTTTTCGCCGATTCTAGAGATATTATCGGACTTTGGTACTCTCTGACCAGGATTGTCTTACCTGATTCTCCTAACCCCAAAGCAGCAGCAATATCAAGCCTCGGGATTGGCCTGGATTGAGTAGGCTTCCGGATGGGTCCTTTGGCGCTTGTAGATGGCATCGCTGTTCTGGGTGGCTATGGGCAATGGCTTTAGAAAGAAACCAGGTTGAAATACTCCAGTGGGAGCTTGAATTGTTAATGATTGGAGCCACCTTATCCTTTGTAATTGCTTAATTGAGTCGAAGTGTGGTAGGAGGGCTGCAGTGGTCCGGAACCATAAGCAACTTAAGTATAAGACCTAAAGTAGGTAGGCGTTGAACAAAAAGCTTTTGAAGTCCTTACTCAGAAACGATTGGTAGTTTCTTTGATGTTACCTGCTACCCGTACAGACCACGGTGATTTCAACACACAATGATTGTGTACAGATTGGCTTTAAGCCAACCTCTGTTATTCGCTGCATTGCCGCTGCTTCCTATTTCGGGCTGTTCGATCTCATTGGGGGTTTCCATACTTGGAGAATCAATACCACATTCGGACAGTATGCGGATCAAACTCAAGATGGACGGCATTTCTCGAGAAACTGCTGTCAAGATAACCTGATATCTTTGGTATTGCCTCTTAGTCTTGAACAGATTAATCACCTTCTTCGCCCCGCCTCGAATATCTCTGAGGTAGGTCAATAAAGTTAGTACATTTTCATCCGAATGTGTCAGACATATGATTGTTACGAACAGTCCTCAGACTCACGTTGCAACTGCATCGCTTCTTTCTGGCGAAGTTTGAATGTTTATTAAGTACTTACCAAGATGATACTCATGACTAGAAGTTCTTCCTGGTTACGTAAGAGGGCGCCTTCAGGCGTCACGAGCACCCTCATTGAGCCCGCGGACTTGTCCAAACCGTCGGGGCCAGAAATAGCTCCGAGTCCTCCCACCAATGACAATGAGTGTTAGTAATAGCTTGCTGACAGTGGACTGTGGGCATACGATCGAGCTGCGTTCTGGAATTTGCATTCCGAAAGCTCACACCAAGACCGAGCTGCCCTTGACATTCATCAGACCTTCCTGTCACTTAGGCGTACGTTTCAGAGATTTTGCAACGATCAAGAATCCACACGACAACGAGAATGTCCTCAGACATGCGAACTTATCCCCTCCGGCGACCAGAGGGTCATCGGCCGCCGGTTCCACGATGGCAACTTACCCTCTGCAAAGACGTACAGAAAGTTTTCACAGCATACATCGGTATACAACCTCATCGCGGCGCTTCTGATAGATCAACAGTAGTCAAACAGGCAGTCCAGGCGGTTGAAGCATGGCTCAGTACAGACACGGAAGATAGACCACTTTCAACCGAGAGCTTCAACCATTTAGATGGGGATGACGCCCCGAACACATATGTCTGGGTCTGTTATTGGGATGATCCTGAAAAAGGAGAAGCAAGCCTGCAGAAACTTGACATCGCGTCTGTTTACGCCAAACTCGCACCAGAACACCGAATGCTCGTCGGTTTGTGGAGGGAGAGCTTCACAACGCCTATCTCACGCCTTGAAACAAATTACTCTGGGCTCGACTATCTCCCCGGTCTGGCCAGGCTACCGAAGACTGGTACGAAAGAGCATCAACTGTCAGCATACTGGGGAGCGGCAAGAGATCGAATTCCGGCATCTGCTCATGACCTTTTCGAAGAGGATGGAGACGCGAAGACGGCAAAACCAGAGGATATCCCGGTTGGACTAGGACAGCACTTAACTGGAACGAACTACGACAATATTGTTCATATCCGGTCGGGTCAATTTTGGGAAAATTGTTGTCTTGAAGAGGCACTGTCATACGAGACGGAGCTGGAACCGACCTTGAAGGCGGGCCTGGGATACCTGTGGGAAAATCGTGAGAAAGGTGGCGCTATGGGATTGCGATTCTTGGGCAACAGAGACGCCGATGGGCATACCAAGAAGGAGACCTGCGGTGCTGGGTTCTTCATGAACCTGAGTTCATTGGAAGAGTGGTCCAAGAAGCATCGCTCCCATCTGGCTATATATATTGGAGCCATCAAACATGCGAAGACGTGGGGAGAGTCAAGGAAGTTTCGGACCTGGCACGAGGTCTCGGTACTCAAGAGGGGAGAGGCAACGTTCGAGTACCTCAACTGCTCGCCTGTCACTGGCGTTATGAGATTTATCTCTTTGCCCAGAACTCAAGAGCTCATGTAGGACCGCTGTGTTTTTACATTGATTAGCTTTTAAAGTCGAGAGTCAGTATGTTTGAGTGAGTATTTCCAGGTCGACGGCTCGTCCACTTGGAAAACAACTCGAGTGGCAATGGTGATTATATGAGAGAATGGCTCGTTGGACTGTTGTCGTCAATCGTCAGGTATTGTGGACTTTCTTGAGTATTTTTGCAGCACTTACCGCTCTCGCAGAAATTTGACATCCATAGTTGGGCGAGTAGCGAGCCTATGTCGGATCGATTCGCCAGAGCCTGGTGTTAGTTTCGGAAACCGAGACAGGGAGATAGTACAAGTCTCGGCCTAAGCAGTCTCGAAGATAGCCGCAACTTGTCAGACTTGAAAGCAAAAAGACGGACATTTGCCAAGGGGCCAAGAATACCGAAGGCTTTTGTTCACCGAAAGACCCGTCAGTAGGTCATCCCACATGCGTGGAAATAAAGGGTTCAGCATCTTGGCATGCCTCCCACTTGACGAGAAAGCCCACGGCTACTTATTTAATAGTGTTTGGC